GAGAACAGACTGTGAGCGACAATTCAAGTAATTATTTAACAAACAAGTTGCATTATTTGAAAAGCCTATGAAGTGCAACAATGCCAGTAACAGTTGATGGTTGATACGATCGAATGCCTTGGAATAATCCAAAAGTATGAGCACTGTTAACTTGTTATTGTCTATTTGTGTAAGTATGTCGTCAGTAACATGTGAGAGTGCAGTAGCACAACTGTGATCTGGGCGAAACCCAGATTGATGTATAGGTAGAATATTATTAGCACTGACGTATTTGATTTGCTAAGATTTTTTCAAATACTTTAGACAACACACAAAGTAAACTAATGGGTCTCAAATCCGATAACTGCTCTGGATTATTAACTTTGGGGAGAGGAATGACAAGAGACCGTTTCCAAACTGAAGGATAAACATTATTCTCAATACAAAAGTTAAAAATATGCGTCAAATATGGTAATACGTATGGACAACAGTACAGTAGCATATCTAAACTTATGTTGTCCGGTCCTAACGCTTTTGATTTTATTGAGAGCAGGGTTTGAAACATTTCAATATCAGACGTCATTTGAATAGTGAACGAATTATTAACATGTAAAGTGTTATACAAATAATTATTTAATATGTCAACATCAAGAACAGTATTTGCACTACTACAATTACTAGCAAAATAGTTATTAATTTCTTCAACATTACTTAAAGCCGCTGGCACTTGAGGGGTTGATTTATTATAAATATTCAAATTTCTAAACTCTCACCACATATTTTTACTACTAGTTGTGCGTATTTTAAATTCAAGATAAGCCTTTTTTTCCCTCTTAATTGCATAATTGACTTCATTTCTTAAGGATTTATAATAATCAAAATGTTGCATATTTTTTGTCCTTTTATACTTCGTGAGAGCTTTATCACGTAAAGTCATCATCAGTTTGATAGTGTCAGTTAACCATGGTGCTCTCCTTTTAGTAATTCTTACAGTTCTGATAGGAGCATCGATATCGAATAAACTCTGAATGAGCCTATTTAAAGTATTAATTTTTTCATCTATCGTATTCATTACAAGGATTTGATCAAAATCTGTTATGTATGTAAACATGATTATTAAAATTCTGAATGCTAAAATGTTTGTAGTCTGTAGTGTAAAAAAAAGATTGAAATTTTGGCTTTGTATTACCAAAAGTGCAGTATGTTAGCCAGTGTCCATAAATATGTGTACAGTCCTTTACACCAGTATTTTTAATGTCCAAATGTGAAGAACATATAATTAAATCAATTAGTTTTGTTGCGTTCAAATTAGTAGGTTCACTAATTATTTGTTTGAGGTCAACTGAATTTAATATATTATTTAATAATTTTGTAGCAGAAGAATTGATTTCTAACACATCAATATTAAAATCACCAGCACACAATATATATTCATATTTAGGAGCAATAGAAGCAAGAACATTTTCAAATCCCGAAAGAAAATTAATAGTTGAAAAATTAGGCGGTTTGTTGTTCATTTTTAAGGATACCCATATCTGCTCCGTTCCCTGAGTGCCCAAATTAGTTATTAAATTTGACTGAAATGAATCCTTAATATAAATTGCCGCACCTCCACCCCTACGCTGCAGTCTGTCCTCGCGATAAAGCTTATATCCTGCAAGCAATACACTGCTATCAACAATATTATGATTTAACCATGTTTCTGTTACAGATATTATATCGAATTTATCATATACTACTTCTTTAAAATCTGCAAAACTAGTCATTAGCGAGCCCACATTGATATGACAAAACTTTACTGACATCATTAAAATATCCTATGAAAAACTAGAACTTAAACTAGTATATATAAACTAAATATAAATATAGACAGCTAAAATTTAAGATAAAATTATATTATTAAACAAGAATTTGACAATTATTATAAAATATGACAGCACACAAATACAAAACAAACAACATTGTGGAATGAACCAAACCGACAATACTCAATACACCAACTATTTATTATTTAATTATTCATTTTCATATCATAAAGAAAATACACTAACTAACAAAATGATATAAATGTATAGTATATTAATGTATATGAAATCAATTAAAAAGTAAACAAAACAAAAGATTAATCTATTATGTATCAGTCAAGAAAGGTATCTAGTTATTTTTGCGACGGGTTGTGGGTCTTAATGTTTTCCTTTTCTTGGTGAGGTTTTCCTTAGCTCCGCAATCGACTGGCTGTTCTTCAGCGTCACTCTCGCTGCTATTATTAATTATATTATTGCCCTTAAGAAGATTTAATTCAGGTATACGTATTCCCAATTTTAACTCGCTCAATGTGAAAGGCTTGCCCTCTATATATAATTTATTCCTATAAATATGAGCTTTTAGGTTTTGTTCTTTAGCTTGTTTTAGGTGAATGCGTAAGTTTTTATTTTCTTCTTGTTCCGGTTTAGATAATACTTCAGAGATTCTGACAGACGTTCCTTTTAAATTTTTGCAATGTTTAATAACGCTATGTTTAACTAAATACCTAGTAAATAGTATAATTACTGGTTTATTCTCGGACTTCCCTACGGTATAAGTATTACTAATATCAGTGTCAATCAATGCCTTTGGCAAATTTAAAAGTGCATTAAGTTTTGATATGGTAGAATTTAATAAATCATCTTCAATATATTCCAGGTTAAATATTATAACTTTATTTTTATTTAGTTGTTTTTCTAATATAATATTCTTTGCTTTAACTTGCTGTAGTTCAAGTTCTAGTTGATCATTTCTTTCTGTTTGCTGTTTAATAACATTTTCCAGTCCGGTAATACGTGAATTTACATAATCTATCAGTTTATCAATCTGCAAGCCATTTTGCTCTAGGATGAATTGTTTCAATTTTCCCAACGATTCGTCATTTATACTCATGTCCAAAATATTAAAATTATACTGTTAAAACGATTGTAGTATCGTGTCTTTTATGTTTTGTTATTTGTTTTTATACTCTCTAACACAGATAAGCACTATTTATTCACAATTGTGGTTATGGTATTTTCGGGATTTATTCCTTATATATTAAACATTTATTTTACCTCATTTCAAAACTTGCTTTAGGGAACTACTTCACTAGTATTTATGATGTCACTGTTAATACTACATTAATTTTTATCGAATTATAGAGCACTTTTTAAACGATATTTCTTAAAGACATATGTATTTGTGTACGTACTCACACGTAGCCGTAGCCATATATACTGTGTACTGAGCAACATGGTTTTCGGGTGGGTAAGTCCACCAAATCTGCAATTCTTGCATTTTTGGACCAATAGGGTTGTTGACTATAAAAACAAACCATATACAAATTGTTGTTGATACAAAGATTTTATATAAAAGAACCTGCTTGTATAGCAAAATTTAAAATATATGACAAATGGTAGAAATCATTTATGAATTTTTCCGTTACTTAAAAACTAGTCTGAAGTCATAACAGGCGATTGAACAAGAAGCTAGTAGCGATACTATTGCATAATTTTGAAGAAGAGAAAAACATGTCAAAATTGTCCGTTGCAATTGTTTAGAAGCGTGAAAATTGCGAAAGTGTTTAAACAATCACCACGGCTCACCTAAGCGTCAGATTTAAATTTTTCAAAAACAATTTTAAAGCTTGAGAGCTCTTCTTTTTGTGGTGAAATTTTCAAGTATTCAAAGGCTTTAGATTCTTAGAAATTTGATTTTGAAAATTTTTTAATTTAAAAAAATAAAAAATTTAAACAATTAATATGTAAAAATTATCTAACCAAATTGGATAAAATTTGGTGTGATGATTCTATGCACTAAGAAGTTTAATTGGGAAAAGTATGAAGATCCTAGGTATTATTCAAGTGTCTGAAAAAAATTGACAAATAAACTGACATTTTTGCAATTTTTTAAATGATTTTTCCGATTTTTGCAATAACAATAATTATTTTTTCGAATTGCAACTAACTCTATCTTGATCAAAATTTAAATACAAAACTTTTTTCCTCTTTCATTTTTATCTAAAATGAATAGTTGCTAAGTTGTCGACGAGAAATCCAAGAAAAAAATGAATTTTTTTTCTATTTTTTAATACTTTTTTGCAATAACAATTAAGCCCACATTTTTTTTATTTGCATAGAAAAATTATGATTTCTAATGTTGTTTACAAACCGTTAAAGCAAAAATCTCCGATCATATGCGTTTTACCCAACCCGAAACAGATACCGCCTGGACTAAAGGGAAGATATTCAATGATTATTACAAAATAATAATTTTATTTAATAAAGGAATTCGAAGTCGTAGACTTATTTTCCTTAATCCTTAAAAATTAAGTTTTTTCAGAAATGTTGCTATATCTTAAAAACTAACAATTTTAGGTGTGTAGAACATGTTTAATGAAAGTTGAGGTGGACCGACATGTGAATAAAATAGAACAATACAATACAGGGTGTTCCATTTGAAAATCAAGTTTGAACTTTCTAAAAATGATCGTATTATAAAAAATGTTTTTTGGTCTAACATTTGCCAATAACTATCCAATATTTTTGCTCCAAGTTTTTACTAATCACCCTGTATGTTTCGAATAAATTTTGTAGTTTTGGTTTCTTGACTCTGTACAACTTTTATATAAACTTTTTTTTCTGTATTGTGAGGAACAAAGGATTTATTGTACTTTCTCACACTAATGGCCCACCTTGTATGTATGTATATCATAGTATAATTATGTAATAAAAATCATTTTGTTACCTCTATTAATACCTAGTCAATATAAAAGATCTATATTTTCTATACACTGAAATAATAACACATTATTTTTACAATTAATAAATATATTAATTCATACGCACATCGACTTTCAGTTGTCATATTTCGTAATATTCTACGAATATTACGAAAGAAAAACTTTAAAGGTAAGAATCACAAATAACTTGTTCGCCTTTCTTAATTCAAATAATGCAACCAACTAAGCTGCTCAAGTCTTTGCATTAATGCCCCGTGGTGACTTTATGATGCTCCACTGGTATATCTCAAAATTAAAAACTAGGTATGCATACTTTAGGTTTTATATAATTTTATGCAGTAAAATCCACATTGTTAAAATATCCATCTCTTTTGATTGAAAACAGCAATTTATATGTGATGCCTTTAGTGGCGACTGGCAAAATTAGAAATTATTATTAAGAAAAAATTGACTTTAATAACTTTGCCTTTCTGAAGAAAGTTGTGTGTCATGTCCAGATGGAACCAGTATACCTGTTATAAAACAAATTAATTAAGCAGTAGTTATTATGGCAATAGTCTTAATCAGTAGAAATATTTTGCAGTCTTAGACGGGACCCTAATCAATGCCCAACTAACAGATTGTGGAATCAGCAATCTTCCTACAATGACCATTACCAACAGTAGGTTTTGGAGATGGGGATATCCGGAATGTTTGCTTGATGGGACCACTACCAGGAGCAACGACTAATAATAGGGATGTGTCTGCCTATCCCGGTCCCCTACCAATGACGGTTTTGAAAATGATATTTGATGGTATATGAGATGGCTCTTCCTGACAGTACTGTTACTAATGGTAGTAACTAGTGATAGGGATTTATTTTCCTATCGGGACGCCTACCAACGACAAGTTTGGATATAACATTATCGGATTATCTATCATGTCGGAACTCCTACCGATTTCAGAGGTTGAGACTAGTGATGAGAATAGCTCTGCCGGCCGGGACCATACCGACACCAGGTTTACAAACTAGGGAAGGAAAAAGCACCAACCTAGGTAGGGACGAATACTGGCACCTTTATCAACCAGTATTGGAGTTTATCGTCTATGCTCGCAGATTTCTCCCCAGCTTAGTGGAACCGTGTGCCAACAGTAGGAAACCACATGAAATGAACATAGGTTCACTACAACATAAAAGTTGTTTACAAACTTGGAGGGATTTTTTTTAATGATAGGTAGAATGTATTAATAATAACCATTCGCAGTAATCAAAATCATTGAAACTGCAAAACAGCACTTAAAATTAATAACCAAAATTTTAGAACTTACTGAGAAACCTCTGAAATCATCCCGAGTTACACATTATATAAAAAGAGAGTGAATATTTATGGCTGTAAATGGAATGTATTCTGCTTCCCCGTCCCGCTTTTTGTAGTAAACGGAAAAATTGCTAATTTAATTTTAGGTAATCATCAGTTATACTTTTAGTTTTCATTACAAACATGTGTTTATTGTGAAAATTATTAATGAACAAATGTTTCAATAGAAAATGCGACATAGGTACTTCAAGGGTTGCTTCTCTGGGCGAAAATAAAAGGATTCAGAGCAAGTTAGCTTAGTACAATTTTGCTTCCTTAAAAAAATATTGGTTTTAAAAAACAATTTTAATTTTATTTTCTTATAAGATAAATAGTCTTTTATTTTTGTCATATATTTTTCTTGATAATCATTTTGCGAAAATGCAGATATTTGTATGTATATTTGTTGTATGTCGTTCGTTATAAAAATGGATTTTGAATTTTTACTGCAGTTATCAGGGCAGCCTAGTATTTGAAAGTATTCTAATACAATTAAACTTCACTTTTGCTAATTTGCAACAGGGACTTATCCCAATAATTGTAAATTTTGCAAAAAAAGTGACGTTTAATTAACCTAAGATATCACCAATATTTGGATGTCAGTAACTGACTACAATGGTGTATTTTAATGACATGCAACAATAAACTAACATAGAGTTTTGAAAAATATTTGTTTTTCCAAAATTTCTATGAACAAAAAAATAAGACAAAAAACAATAACTATTTCAGATGGTTATTATATCTTAAAAGTAAAGTTATCTTTAAAAAATAAAATGAAAGAAAGCAAGATTTAAACCAAGGTAACTTAATCTAAATCGGTTTTTCACTCAAGCAAGCTACTTTTGAAGTAGGTATGTCACATTTTTTACTGGACACCTATACAAAGTTAAAATAGACCATCCAATAATAATATTTAATAACTCAAAAATTAGTCCCATTTTTATAGATTTTAATGTATCTATTTTATCAAGAGTAGATTTACTGTACTTATTCAAGAGTAGATTTACTGTACTTACAGGGTCAAATACCAACATTTGGCATAATAGATGAACAACTTCATGCGTTGCTTGAGATGAAAGTGTATATAAAGCTGACAGTGATGGTGGTTTCGGGGCTCTTCTCAACATATGTGATTTGGCACCCTCACAAGCATATTTCATATCTTCTAAAGATGGAGTTCCTAATAATTCGGTTATAAGTTCTAACTGCTGCACAGGATTTTGCGCTTGAAATAATATTCTACGACCTAACAATTCACCAAATATACAACCTACAGACCACACATCAACAGCCGCTGAGTAATGTTTTGCACCCATCAAGATTTCAGGAGCCCTATAGTACTGCGTTACTACTTCTTGTGTCATATGCTTGCTTGTATCAGGCTCTTCTACTCTTGCTAAACCAAAATCACAGATCTGAAACAATTTAAATGTCACACATATCAAAACTGACATAAATTGTGTTAGTAAATTTTAGTCTAAATTTTCTTATAAGTTAATATTTATGTTTTTCCTACATGGTCTAATGTATTTTATAACTGTACAATTTCACATCGCCTTTGACAATGTTATGTTTTACGAAGGGACCACTACAATTAAAAAGTGATCCCGGTCAAAATTGTAAATTGCATGGATACGAGTTAATTATTATTCTCTGGAATAAAATTCCGATCATAAAAACCCCGGCAGATGATTTCTTTGTCTGTTTTTGGCCACTTTTACTCCTTTTATTAGCATTTCAAACACGTGTGTAGATGGAGTAAAAACGCAATGTGCAAAACGATGTCACCAAATGGGTGCAAATCATGGTAAAGTCTATGGACATGCTGACACGCCACCCACACCTTCACCCCCCCCCCCCTCAGGCCAGCCAAAAACTACCCCGAAGAGGGGTTAAACGCATATAACCTCGGATCGAGATAGCGTGCCATTACGTTTGTGGAGTCTATCATCCCCACAAACGGGAATGGAGGAAAACCGATCAGTGGAACAGATCAGAGAAGCGTGTAACCCCTTTTGGGGTTGGATCTTGGCCACTATGAGTGGATATTGCAGTGTGGATAGCGTGACAATATGTTCCCTTGAAAATGGGTGATGAAGTAGATGTCGGTGGAATAGGTTATACAGTGTGATTTAGTCATAATGTCATTAATTTTAACCACGTATTCGGAAGGCTTAATAAAGACAGAAAATCGGAAAAAAATTTTTTACTCGACTTTTAAAAATGAAGGGAATCAACCATATAACATTGTCCATGAGTAATTATGCTTCTCACGGCCTAATTAGTGATATTTAGTTAAAATACCTATACGCATTTTGGACCATATCAATGTTCGATCTGTCAAAATATGTTATAACTAAATCTGTAAATCCTTACGTAATTGGAAAAAGGCAGAAAAAGGTTTAACAATTCCAAGATGTCTTATTTTCTTAATAAAAAACCTTCTTTTCGTTTTTAATAGTATCTCGCTTATTGTTAGCGATGGACCCAACAAACCCAACATGACTCTGCTCGACAGGGAACGTTCTATCCAAATATGTAAAAATATACAGGGTGTTCCATTTAACTTAACAAAGTTAACATCCGCGGCCATTTTGTTTGGACTTCATTTGTTTTTCCACTATTATTTTCGAAAAATTCTTAAAAACTCGTGCAACTTTTATATATCACATTTTTTTATAACTCTCAAAACAAAAATGTTAAAGGGGGGTCAAAATATAGTGAATCACCCTGTACAATTCACAAAAATAATAAACATAATTAATATTATTCTAAATCACATAACAAAATTAATTTTACATAAAACAAAAATAAATTTTTACATATACAGGGTGATTCAGTCATAATGTCATTAATTTTTTCCACGTATTCGGAAGGCTTAATAAAGAAAGAAAATCGGAAAAAAAATTTTTTACTCGACTTTTAAAAATGAAAGAAATCGACCCATAACTCCCGCTAAAAGGGCGGCCCTGCCAGATGCCCGGATGCTCGGAAATTTTTGTAACGTAATGTCACGAATCAATCGTCGGCTGAAGCAAACAGCGTTGCCAAGTTCACATCATGATCTATGGTTCACATTTACTTTTGACTTCCGCATTCAACGTATGCAAGTAAATAAAGGAGCATGCTGCATTTTATTATAAATAATTTTAACAATTGTATTAACTTAGTGCAAAATGTTTTAACAAGCCTGACTTCTCGAAGTCAACTTTCGTTAAAAGAAAATAAATAAAGCAGAGGTTTGTAAGCACACTGTATTTTATCAAATAAAAAAAGTCGGCACACTAAATACCCGAATATACAAAATACACTACACACGATTAGAAAACCATTACTAACAATTTAAAGCGTTTATTCAAAACTACCACCCTACCACCCCTTGCAATTGGTTCCTAAATCGAATTGCAGCATAACTTTATTAACAAAGTGCTCTGGACGGATGAATGCTGTTTTACTCGTGCTGGCAAATGTTGTTAAAAAATTAACATTATGATGTTAACAAAAACTGATTTTTGGCAAGGCATGTTCAGACCTCCTCGAGGTTCTTGCTGGGCAACAATAACAATTTAATATGTTGATTGCATAAATAAAAAATAATTTATAGCATTTTAAATTATTATTGGCTGACGTGAGCAAACCGTATACGAAAATATATAAATATGGCAACGTTGCATCTAGGGCACCTTGTTCATATCCAGAGGGCGGACAATTAGTGTCTTTAACCTTGAACATAGATATGCCATTCATAAACATAGATAGATTATCCATGATGCAGTGGCGTGTCGGGTACGCATCGGAAAATTACATGATAATTCACGAAAATTACACGGTACATATATTTTTAGGCTTTATAAAATATTTAGAATATCAGAAATTATATAACTACATATTTATTAAATAAAGTTCAGTTAAAAATAGTGTCGTTTTTTTAATTGGAAATTAGGAGGTAATGTAACGAATACCCTCAGGCGACGCACATGATAGAATAGTCCAACTCACGCTCCATTCATAAAAGGGCTGCAGTTTGAATTCTGACCAATAGGAATTCGATAAGCGCACCCGATGTCGACAGATGGACTAGAGATGGGCGTGAGTGTTTATTTCTTTAGAACTAAATTAACTTAATTATTTTCTCGTTATTTAACCTGTTCACATGATTTATGGATTTTAAATAAAGGGTACAAATTTTCACGAGGATAATACGATATATTTGCTATACACAATAATTATATTTTGCATAGTTTATACACAATACATTTTTGAACGCGTACGCATCTCTACCAAAATTTGACCTATTCTTCGGGTTAAAGGCACACATTGTCCGCTCTCTATTCATATCGTAACCGTACACAATATTGTAAATAATGGTACCGATATCGGTGAAATAATCTCTTCAAACTGAGTATAAACTTTTTTCAAAATAATAACACAGCCACACACAAAAAAAAGTAGTCTACTTTTCATGCGACATATGTTATCACGAATCCGGTGTCAGAATTGAGCTCTCACATCTCAGGAATTTCCTAACCTCATAAAACAGGTCAAAAATAGCAAAAATTCAAGAAAAAGTGCTAGGAAAACTAGAAAAAATTTTTTTAGTATATTCAAATGTTCATTTATATAGTTAAGACCCCGCTGAACGTGAATTAGCGGTCAGAACTGATGGTTCTCCCAACCTCAAAAAAACGGGTCAATTAAGGTCAGATATCACGAATTTTCAAAAAATAACAAATTCGCGCCAAATTTATTATACGGGGGTTGTCGGGGTCGCTGATCCCGAATCCGAGATCAATTATGCAAAATTCAAGATGGCGGATCCAAGATGGCCGACTAAATTTTCAAAAAATAACCGATTCGCATCAAATTTGGTATAAGAGGGTAGCTGATCACAAATTCGAGGTCAATTTTGCAAAATTCAAGATGGCGGCCGACCAAATTTTCAAAAAATAACATATTCTGATCACGAATCCGAGATCAGATTTACAAAATTCAACCTGTGAATAGATCTTTTACAGAAAAAAGAACAAGATATAGCCGAAAAGAAGTAGATTAACACATGATTGGGTACTCATGTTATAAAGTAAAATATTACAAAATGAGTTTCGCAATTGTGACCTCGAATACGTAATCAGCGACCCCGAAAACCCTCGTATACCAAATTTGTTGCGATTCTGTTATTTGAAAATTTGGTCGGCCATTTTGGATCCGCCATCTTGAATTTTGCAAAATTGACCTCGGATTTGTAGTCAGCGACCCCGAAAAACCCAGTATACCAAATTTGCTGCGATTCTGTTCTTTTGAAAATTTGGTTGGTCATCTTGGATTCGCCATCTTGAATTTTGCAAAATTGACCTCGGATCCGTGATCAGCGATCCAAAAAACCCCCGTATACCAAATTTGGCGCGAATCTAATTGTTTGAAAATTCTTGTTATCTGACTTTAATTGGCCCGTTTTTTGAGATTAGAAAAAGAACTATTTCACGAATTTTTGCTATTTTTTATTTGTTTTTTCAGGTTAGGAAATTCCTGTGATGTGATAACTCAATTCTGATACTGGATTCGTGATCAGGAGGCAAAAATATTACAGATAACATATATCGCATGAAAAGTACAGACTACTTTTCTTTTTTTGTGTGGCTGTGTAATATTTGGCTTAACCTTTTGAATTTAAAAAAAAATCAAAGTAACCATTATAATTATAGGTAAAAAGTTTTTACTCAGTTTGAAGAGATTATTTCACCTATATCGGTGCCATTTTGCAGTCGCCATTTTTTAAATTTAAAGAGAGTATACCGCATATGTTGATGTGTTACACAAGGAATATTTTTAGTGAGACTATGGAAGCGATGAAATGACGTTTTCAGCAGATTTTGAGCTTAAACGTTTTAATTCGCTGGTATAGGCGCCATTTTGAAAACTTGTAAGGCGCACTTGCTTACGAACGTGTCTAGTTAGATAGCATGAACTTAACCGGAATTAAATGGCGTTATTAGCAGATCTTGACCTAAATCGAGCTATTTCACTGATATAAGCGCCATTTTGAGGTCGCCATTTTAAAATTTGTACAAGGAGCACGTAACATTTGGTAGAGCACTTCCATATCAATGTTTTGTGTTGAATAACACTAGCTCATACACCGTTAAATGTGGATTACAACAGGTTTACGCCAAAAATTTTGGTATTTCGATGATATCGGCGCCATTTTGAAAATTCAGAGAACACGCATGGAATTTGGTAACTCTCTACCAGATAAACATTTTTTATTGCATAGCTAAATTTTCGTCATCATCGCTCCTTTTTCAGTAGCACTTCTTTCAGGAGGTCGCCAAAATTCGTGGATAGTAGCCGCCATATTGCAACCGCCATAAGCGCCACACGGCATTCGATAGCGCTCATCTCAACGAATTTTTTAAGCCGTCTTGCGATTTTTGTGACCGATTCAATTTTTGTACTAGAGGAAGGCACGGTTGACACGGATCGTTCCATATATATATATACAGGGTGTTAAAAAAAGAGTGTAAAATACTTAAGGAAGTAATAGTATGAACCAAAATAAGCAGAAAAGTCTCAATAAACATGGGTCCGCAAAGTAACGGTTGCGGAGATATGGAATGTTTTATGTTTTTTAGCCCCTTTTTTTATTTTGCAAAAACGTTGTGTACTTTCTTATAATAGTTGGTTGATGTTTAGTGAAATAAACAGTACGTATTTGACAGTTGTTCTCAGTGCACAAGTTTTCTTTCGCTATGGCTGGTTACTCTAACGCAGAATTAACAGACATGCATT